GAAAAAGAGAAAGAGAGAGAAGGTGATCGCGTTTTAACGGACGAATTGCCTTCAATCATAAACGTCTGCATCCTAAATGACAGCTTAGTAGTCGGATTTTGAAAGGATCAGACACGGAACTGAGCTCGAGGAAGAGGGGAAGAAAGGGAAGGAGGTGGTGGCGGTGGTGGTGGTGGTGGAAAACGCGAAAGACGAAAACGAAGAGCGAGAGACGCGAGTTACGCGGTACAAGCGGAACCAACACAGGAAGCTCATTAAGTTGCACCCCGCGGCTGAGCCGTGCACAGAGAGAGATACACCGGGTGCCCCTTTACCCCGTTCGTTCGCTCGAGAACCCCCACCTGTTTCGCCCGGCCTGTTGTTTGCCTCGATGCGCGACGCACGCCTTCTACGCATTCAGTGTCACCTTCGTTAGGCGACATTGAGAAAAAATTATGATAATGACGATCGTGCCCGAGGGAATTCCCGCACTGCGCTTTTCTCCGAGATTCGAGTGCTTTTCTCTTTTCTCTCTCTTCTCCCTCTCCCTCTCTCTCTCTCTGTTTCCCCTCAATACCCGCGAGAGATTCCCTTTTCTGGCTTAGCTACCAAGCCCCGCCAAAGCATTCAATCGTTCTACCGGTTAAATAAAAAATTTCGAACAGCCAGAAATACAATATAAAGTCCGTATCGCTAGTCACAGATTTCTATCCCGGGAGCAAATAAATTCTAAATGAATTCAACTCGGAGAAGTAACGCATTTAGATTTTCCTTTTCCTCTTTTTTCTTTTTTAATGTCTTCCCTTGTTTTTTTTCTTTCTTTCTTTTTTTTCTTCTTTTTTTTTTTTTTTGTTTCCTAAACGAGAACCGTGTTCACCACGGTTTCCCTTCTCGCCACGTAGGAAGTCCGATTCAAGAAAAATTTTATTCCCTGGTTGGTTAGCGAGAGAACCTAATTATACCTGCTTGTCGTTCTTACTCAATCAGACACGCGATACGATTCTGTAATGCGAAATTTCACCATTTTCTACCCTTTCGTGGGCTATAATTGAATTCGACTAGTTGCTCTCGCGTCTCAACTTTCACCCAACTATCGTCACTTTAGCCACGAAATCGAGCTCCCACGATAAACTTCCACTTCCTGCTTTTTTTCTTCCCTCCCCCCCCCCCCCTCCATCCACATGTCTACGAGCAACCGAGTTTAGACACCGAGTTCGAGAATTCCACGAAGATAAATCTTTGACACCAGAGCGAGGAGGGGAGGAGGGGAAAAAGAAGAGGTGCGAGCGTAATAATTACCGGCATCCGTCGATATATCGAGTAGGATGGTGAAAATAGGAGCGACCAATAACATCTAACGGAGAACAGTATCATCAGTCAATCTGCTGGCACGGCATGTTTATTACGGGCACGAGTTACTGTCGGTGGAACAAATGCCTCTACCGAACGGAAAGCCACTCTAGCCAAACCTGTCCATTATTCCTGTCGTTCACTTTCGTCACTTCCCCTATATAACACCGCTCCTGTCTCGATGTAGCCCGATGAAAGGGTGCAGAAACAAGCGTACCATTGGTGAAATTAGAAGTGGAACGGGCGGTTGCAATAAGGCGGTTCGATTTTCACAGGACACACTAGGGAGAAACGTCGTTGATTAAGCGAGGATCATCGAACGTTTGTTCTTTTTCTCTCTCTCTTCCTTCTCTTTTCTTTTTCTTTTTTTTTCTTTCCTTTTTTTCTTTTATTAGATTCGTTTATCCGCGCAATTTTCGTTCCTCGAATTTTTTTTTATCGGGGCTGCGCGATTCGAAACCTTTGAAGGACTTTATGTTTGCCTCGATGAACGTGATCGAATCGGAACAAACATCGTAGTAAAGCTCGATGAAATTAAAGCACCTTTTAATTGGAGAATAACCGTGGGTATAGAATAGCCAATTTCGAAACGCGAAAGAGGGTAAATACGGTTTATCTTTTTTACAACAACTTTCAAAGCGTGTTACGTCATTCGTTTTACGCGCTTCTTGTTTGTCACGCTGTTGTTTGATCTTTTTGTAATGGTCAGAAATTTTCTGCCGCCATTTAATATCTGTTGCCTCCTCCTCTTCCCCCCCCCCCTCCCCCCTTCCTCCTCACTGCAAATGCAATATCACGGCAGTCACGTCGTTATTCGATCCTCTGGATTGCATCTATGCGCAGCTTCTAATATATCTTCTGAATGTACCCTTTTGTTCGAATATACGGTAAATGCGATGCAGTGTAATGTTAATAAAATAAGCCCAATTTACAGAGCGTATCTCGTAAAGAACATTGGTTTAGATATAAAAGCAATTACCCGCTGGAAGGGAGGTTAAGAAAAAAGTAAAGCACGAACGTGAATCAGGATCCATTAATGGTAGCGGTTGTAAGTTGAAATTTGCATTAAAAACTTGAACCTTTCCATCTATCTTATGTATTTTCATTCTTTGAGAAGCTAACTGAATTGATAAAAAAGAAAAAAAGAAACTTTTTAAGCGGAAAAAGAATACTAGAAAAAAATCATTTAGAGATTGCATATTCTGTTTACGGATTATCCATGCATACCAACAATGTAGAACAAGGGATTGCGTTCATGATATTGCGTATCTGGGTTGAAGAATATCTTAGAAATCTTCTATTTTGATTGCACGGATGGGAATAAGATATCTGTTTCGCATAAACCTACGTACGAAGAAAATGAGATTTGCTATGCATAGAAAAATAAACTGAACCTTGTTTCCATTTCCTGTTACAACTATATAAAATCCAATAGGCGTTCAACAGGACACATAACGATATTCGTATCGGGAGGGATTTATCCCGTAAAAATACCAAATTCTTTCCCATTTTGTCAACAGCTTCATAATTAAGTGAAATATAAAAAGAAAAGGGGGAAAAACTGAGATAAAACGTTACACGAATCATTAATTTCATCAACGTCGATTCTCGAATTTCACAGATTCTCGAATTTCCCGTGCTAATTATTTCGAAAGTCGTTCCATTGCAACGCTACCTGATGGAAAGTGATAAAAAGATAGGGAAAAACAGGATAACGGAAACATCGTAGCAGTTTTATTTAATTCAATCTTAAAAACTTTTAACTAAGAAGGACTTCGTAGACATCACTTACTGCCACGTCCCTCTCTCTCTCTCTCTCTCTCATCTCCCTTCTTCTATTTCCCTATCCTCATTCCATCCCCATTCCACTTCTCGACCTCGCACTTCCACTATCATCGCGACATTGCCCGAATTTTGAACATTAGTTTGCGAACCATTTAGCACAACTACTCGGTGCTTGCAAGCGTAGTTCGAATCACGGCACATGCATCGGCGTGCAGCTTAAACCGCAATGCTTAGTACCGTAGTGCTCGCTGGTACAGTCATTGTACATTATGCTTGGCGAGTCTTCATCCCTATGGCAAAGTATATAACAGCATTCACGTAACGTGTGCGAGAGATAATTGGAAAAAAGAAACGAAGAGCGCGTAAGCACTTTGAGCGATGTAACGTTGAAATAAAATACGGAAGGATATTATACGCAAAAGAAAATTTTTCGTTTCCATGATGATCGTCAATAGTGTACGAAACAATTACAAGTTTCAATAAGGTAATCAATATCTTGACTCACTCTATTTGTAAATTTTAGTTCTAATTCTGATATTGATATACATAGTTTAAACTGTGTATATCTTAAAATATTCGTGGAATATTCTTCTTCTTAACGTTCTTTTTCTTTTTCAACAATACGAATTTATAATTGTCCAACGATACGAATGCATAAAAAATAAAATTTTCTCTTATTTAATGGCATTTATGTAACGATGTACTTGTACTATATCACTTTTGTAATTTTGCAACAAAATGTAAAAGTGCATGCTTGCCACATTCGAATAAACCACGCAGGTCTTTTGAAGAAACAAGAAAAAAGGCGCAATTTCACGTTACGCGTAATCGTTTAAAAGCAACACTTATATTAGCTAATTGCTTTAAATGTATGAGTTGGTATATATGTCTTTCTAGAAATATTAATTACCTCTTGCTACTTGCTACTGTAATATTAATTTTATTTAATAAATCTAAAATGTTTTTGATGTTTTTGTTTTCTTTGTTTCAATCAAGTTCATCATAAAAATTATCAAAAAATTAATTCAAAGAGATATAAATTATAATAAATTTTTCTTATAAGAATATAATTATTTTTATTATTTATTATAATTCTTCTTATAAGATTTCTCAGTTTTTTTATCTGTTATTGTTTTGAAATTTTATATTGCAATTTAACATTGTATGTTAATTTAAATTCGATCTAAATTATTAAACATTATTCAGATTTTAAATTATATATCTCCCCTCTTATATTATAGTTCCATAATATTAAAATAATCAAGCTATGAAAATAAAATTTTAAAAAATATTTCATTCTCCAAAACATTGATTGAAATAAAATAATAATTTTTTTAATAAAAATTGTATTCTTTCAAAGAAATTCTTAATTTTTCCATGTTTTTCCATTATAGCTAAAAAATGCAAAGATTTAAGATTAAAATGAAAAATAATATTACTTACCGCGCATAAACGCGTGACGAAATCTATTATTGAATCTTGTCAGTCAATGACACAATGATCTGAGGGCATAACTGTTGCTCTCCTCGAGATACTTGGATCGAGTATTGCACAAATGTCAAGATGTGACGCGTACCGTACCAACGGACAGACGGTGCACGACTGTGCGCCGAACACCCTTGCAATCTCCCTTTTATAGGCTTTCTCATAGCGCGTCCACTCATACGTCGACTATCGCTACTCCTTCATTCGATTCTTTACCTTTTATTGGATCGGTAACAAAAATATAATTTATCGTGTTTGTAAAATTTCTTTCTCTAAATTAATTTAAATATAATAAATTTAAATATAAAAAGAATTTAATTATTATAAAGTATAAGAAATTTTTTATAAGGGAATAATTAATTATAAAATATTATAATTTTGATTAAAATATCAGAGTATAATTTTTTATTATATATTTCGAATACAATACTTTTGAAAATAATTATTTATAACAATGTTTTATAATAAAAAATACATGAACATATCTTTATGGTAATTTTCTTTTGGCTGGCTCTTCGTGAACCCTAACTTGAAGCGTAGAACGTGGTCCACATTTCCACACATTGCCATCTTTGTCGAGTATACTCGCGCTTGCTGTGACTTGATATTGTCCACCACTACTGTTCATATTATTATTCACATTAGAGGTATTACTCGCACATGTTGTTGTAGCAGTTGTACATGGACTTCCTAATGAAAGTAAAAATTCACAAGCAAAAAAATCGCGATGTGGTGTGACAGTTTGTTGTAATTCGTTAACATTAGAATCCTATAATAAAATAATAAAATCAAATATTGAAATAAATATGTATATAAAGGATTTATTATTAAAAAATATTAATTCATACTTTTTGATCTGAATTTATCTTCGATGGAGGAGAAGTAGAAATAGAAATGCAAACAGCAGCAACAGAACGATAAAGAGAAGCGCGTCGACCATGTCGTAACACTCCTTCGACTTTTAAAGCTAATTGACTGCCTTGAGGTACAGATACTGGTTCACCAAGAACACGAGGTTGTGGCGAAACAGATAATTTCACACTAGTCGCTTGTAAAGCTTGAAAATAATACCGAGGTATTGGTAATCTCATTTTTGTTCCAGCTAATAACATCACTTGCGAAACTAAACAGTTTATTCTTGAATGACTAAGTGCCGCTGCTTTATTTTCACCTATATAAGTTGGAGCTAAACGACGTAATTCAGTACAACAACGAGCCAATTGACGCATTTCTACTGTATCACCAAAATTAAAATTTACTTCGGTTTGATGATATGTTTGAATTCCTGTACCACCACAAACACGTTCAACACTATTCGCTAATAAACGACAAATTTCTTGTAATCTACATATTAATATAAATTAATTAAGAAAATACATATTGAAATGCGTAAATCAAATATAACAATAATTTCAGATGTAGATAAATCAAAAATTAATTACATTTTTGTAAAGGATACGCTCGTATGTTCGTCAATGAACCTGGATCAGCATCAAAAGCTGATTGATAGAGTTTCTGATAGTTTTCTGCACAATTTTTGAGTTCTTGAGCCGATTTTCTCAACTATAAAATATAGATTATTCGTTTTTAGTTTAAATTAAATGTTTAAAATATAATTGAATTATAATGAAATATACAAGTAATATACCTGATTCGTAACACGTCCATATCGTTGAAGGTCATCTTTTGTAGTTAGAACTACTGTACATGTAATGGCAGGTGGTGGAGCTGTACAAAGAGATCTAAATCATAATTAATTTATATTGATAAAATTAAAAAATAATAATAATAAATAATTTTTATTTTTATTTTATGACATTCATTTACTCAAGGTACCTGCATGAATGTAAAAGTTGTACAATAGCTTGAAGAAATTCACATCGCAATTTTGAATATTCACTAGCAAATTGTAAACTTCGTAATGGTGTACTAGCGGCTTTTAATGAAGCGCATGCACTTGCATAGCGCGCAATAGCTCCATTTAATTTCTCTACAGTATAAACTCTTGCTTTGCTTTCCGCTTCTTCTGTTTTCTCCCTGTTTAAAATTTAAAAAAACAGATATATACTTTTCATAAAATAAATTATTAAAAATATATAGAAACTAACATAAGATAACTTTCAGCTTTTGTAACTAATTCTAAACCGGACAACCAAAAATGTAATTGTTCAGATGCAACTGTTTCTTTTAAACTTCTAAATATTTGAGTTGCTATTGTATGATGACCATATCTTGCAGCACTACGTGCAATTCGATATTTGGCCCAACCATCTACATTTTTAATAATTTCTTCTACTGCTTCTAAACATTCTGGATTCCATTCATATCCTCCAGCTACCATTTGAAAAAGTAATGTACATAACATTACCTTAAAAAAAAATTATATATTTTTATATTTTTTATGAAGTATATATTATTTACAAATTTACCTTTGTATGTACATGTATAGTCTGTTTAAGCTTTATTAATATATCTGGTAAAAGAGGAAGTAATGCATTCTCTCCTAAACTTCCTATAGCACCTAGTGCTTCACATAAAGCAAGCGCTTGCTTCTCATTTTGACTGCCTTCTGCATGAGCATTGAAAAGTGTACTACCGATAGCATCGACAAATATCGAACAATGGCTAGGTTGTGCCCGACATAATTTTACTGTTGAACGTAAACAAACTTTCAATTGATGTAAATACTTATCATCCAAAGCTAAAAGTACAATTAGAGATTCGAGACAAGATACGACGTCTTGTATTCCATATGCTGGTAAATTTTCTTCATAGCTATAAATAAAATATAAGAACTTCAGTATACATATCTCATTCCTCGCTGATATAAGAATCATTAAATATATACCAATAACATGCAACTCTAGCTAAAATAGTAATTGCTTTCACTGCAATAAATGGATCAGGTGAATAACAAGCATTTACACATAATGATAAAAGAGGATTTCCTTCTTCTCTATTTGCATCACATGTTACTGCACTTTGACTAAGTACCTAAATTAAATAATTTCAAAAACTTATTTGTTTAATTCTCTCTTATATTAAAAAAAAATGTGTTTTCATTACTATTTGACAAATAAATGGTAACCTCGATTACATCTAATGTTCGAATAAGAAGATCTTTATTCCAGCTCCATCTTGTAAGAGTGTTGTAGTACTCTCTAAAAAGAAATTTCTATCTTTTTTTACTTATAATTATAAAACTAAAAAATTAATTATTATTCATTATATTTACCTATCAAATTATTAAGAGCACCTTGCGGCCATAAATGAGCTCCTCTTCTTGCTAAAGAATGTAATAAATGTAGTGCATGGCGTTTAATAGTTAATCTTGGATCATCTTGTAGATAACGTAATAAAAGTGCAACTTGTTGTGGAACATCAATTAATGTTGCAGAAGCTAATGTGCTTAAAGCACTTAATGTAACTCTGACAAATTCAACTGCTGGATAACTAGCAAGAAGTTCCATACATAATTCATTTACCTTTAAAAAATTTATAATTTTATACAATTTATTTATATATTAATTATTATTAAAAATTATTATTAAAAATTAAAATTGATATTTACAAACCATTGAAGCTGTAAAAGTATCATGATGCATGTATTGTAAAATAGGTATAAGTTGTAATTTCATTGATGCTGGTGTTGCTTGACCTCTAATCATGTCGGATATTTTACTGCACATGGAAACAGCAAATAATTTTGATTGTGCAGCAAACATTTGTGCAGCATATATTGCAGCTTCAACTTCAACTGAATCATGAGAATCTAATGATCTTCTTATACTATGATGAACCTTATAAATAAAATAATTTTTTTGTTTATACATATTATAAAATGAAACAAATTATAAGAATTATTATTATTTTACTTGTTGTCTTTCTGGAATAATACCAGCTACACTGCCTAAAGTTCGTAGAGTCAAAGCTCTAGCAACTGGATCATTAGAATGTATCACACTATAAATACGTCTGACAAATTCATCAACATTTAAAATTTTATCTAAATGCTTTTCACTTTGTTGACATACTCTGAGAACCCAAACACGTAAAAAATTACTGCCAGTACGAAAAACTTCTGCTAATTTTAAAAGAGAAGAATTTATCAATATTGGAAAAGGATATTTCTCGAATAATCTAGGAAATCGCACTATGGCTTCACATTGTTCACCAATTTTTGTTGACCGTAAACCTGAAAAATATTTTTATTAAATAAATCTTTCCAAAATAAACTTTCTAAAAATATTTCTTTCATTCGTATAAAAGGATTTATTTATGAAGTGTTATTTAAATTTTTTTTATTAAAATTTCATATTTAAGCACTTATTAATAATTTTATTTATTATTTTTTATATTTTGTATTTTATTTTTATATATATTATTTTACTATTAATACAATAATACAATGATACTTATAATACTGTAAAAATTATAATAAAATTAATATAAGGTTAAGTTTAAAAATAATATATAAACATACCTTTATCTAATTCTATAAGAGCAGAATTTGCATCTTGTTCTGGTTCACCAAGTCCTGTATCGTTAAATGCATTCATTCGCATACCAATCATTTTTTTAAACTATAAAATATATTGAATAAAAATTAAATGAAATGTTTTCATTAAGCAATATTAAAATTCAAAGTGTCTATATTCATATACAATGCCAAATTCAGTATAAATGAATTGCACGTGCTTACAACATGTATATAATTTTAGTAAAAATTAACACTTTATTTTAAGACATAATTTTTTAAAGTTAACATACTTTAAAATTATTTAATATATATTATTTAAATTTATAAAACATATTTAATGATAAATTCATAAATTAAATTACAATATATAAATTGTTTTTATAAATGATATAACTCTATGTTAAAAAGTATAAAAATATTTTTTATTATGTTATTCAATTTATTTATCACAAAAAATGAATTATGAACATTAGATTCAATTCAAATTTTATTCGATATAATTTATCATTTAAGTAATTGAGAATCCCTGACATGATAGATCGAACGACTCTCGCGCGAATATATTCATGCTAGTACAGTTGACAATTAAACTTCGACAAGTATGGGCGTTGTGTTTCTGCTTTTGTGAAAATAAAGAAGAAAAAAACGCTTTATACATAAATTATATTTATAAAATAGTCATTTGTATAAAAATACATAATTGAATAAAAAGTATATTTAATCGGTTGAACGATGGTGGATTATAGTAAATGGAAAGATATTGAAGTAAGAATCTTAGTTTTGGTCCAGTATGCTTATGGAATATTCTAGAGTGATAGTAGAAATTTCGAGTGTTTTTTTTATTTGTTTGCTTGAAAAAGTATAAAAAATAATTATTAAATTTAAACATATTTAATATAACTTTAATCAAAATTTTGTTATCTATATATTTATTCTTCATAAATTGTCAAAAAATGATGTATATTTTTTAATATAAATTTTTTTCTATTAACGCATATACTAATTTTTATAATTTATATATTTTTTTTTTAATTTTTCTTAAAACAATAAGTGTTGTTATTTATAATCAATATGTTTATATATCTAAAATAATTTATGTAAAGTTTAATATATATATAAGTTAATAATGTGATGTTATTAGATTTCAGATGATGAAGATGATACTCATCCAAATATTGATACACCATCATTATTTAGGTGGCGTCATCAAGCAAGGCTAGAAAGGATGGAAGAACGGAAACGTGAACAAGAGGAACATGAAAGAAAAAAAGCAGAGTATGTTATCTTCAACATATATAAATAAATTATTTTGTAGTAATATTAAATTATAGTAATATCATCAATTAAAATTTTTATTATTTACAGAACTCTACAAAAATTAAAAGAAACAGAGGAAAAACTTGCAAAATTAGAAAGAGAACAAAAAGATTCAGCAGATTTGACTGCATTAAAAAAGTTTTACATGATCTTGAACAAGAAGAGAAAAAAATTCAAGAAAAAGAAGAGGAAATGAAAAAAAAAGAGAAATTAACACCTTGGAATGTTGATACTATCGGTCAAGATGGTTTTACAAAAACAGTAATTAATAAAAGACCACCATGTAAGGGAGATGATAATGGTTTATCAGATGAAGAAAAGGAAAAGAAAATGAAAGAATTTGTAAAAGAAAATGAAAAAAAATTAAAAGAATTTGGCATGTTAAGAAGGTATGAGGATAGTAAGAAATTTTTAGCAGATAATCCTGATTTAGTATGTGAAAATACTGCAAATTATTTAGTTATTTGGTGTATTAACCTAGAAATAGAAGAAGTAAGTATATATTTACATATTTATAATGAATATAATTATTATATGAATTTTATGATTATATTTAATTTTAGAAACATGATTTAATGGAACATGTTGCTCACCAATGTATATGTATGCAATGTATTTTGGAATTATCAAAACAATTGGATGTTGATCCAAGAGCATGTGTAGGTTCCTTCTTCAGTCGTATTCAAAATGCTGAATTAGAACATAGAAATTCATTTGAAGATGAATTAAGAGCATTTAAAGAAAGAATACGTAAAAGAGCTGCTGAGAAAGTAGCAGATGCTCTTAAAGAAGCTGAAGAAGAAGAAAAAAAGGCACGTCGTGGTCCAGGTGGTCTTGATCCAGTTGAAGTATTTGAAAGTCTACCAGAGGTACAAAACAAATTTATCATAAATATTTTATTTTAATATAATATTTATCTTAATTAATAAATATCTTAATATTTTAATATATTGTATTGTAGTATTAATATATTAATATATTAATATATTATTAATATAATATTAATATATTGTTTTTAGCCTTTACAAAAATGCTTTGAAACACAAGATCATGCTTTATTACAAGAAACTCTAGCAGTAATGCCACGACAAGAAGCACTTTATCATATGAAACGATGTGTTGATAGTGGTCTTTGGTTACCAGATGCAAAAGCTAAAGAATTGATAGATGAAGCATCTACAAAAGTTACAGGAGAAACGCCCAGTGCCGAATAATTACACGTGTCTGTAAATAACATGTGTTAACTTTCATGACTCATTTGTGCAAGTATCCTTTAGTACATGAATATGTTATAATAAAATATTGTCATTGGACAATGAATACAAAATTTTTATCTTTATTGGCTTTTTTTTATTGTAATAATATTACATTATTGTTTGAGTTACTTTAAGACTGAATTGCTGCATAATTTTGAGTTACTATAGGAAGTGTGAATATTATAAACTGTTAATTAAACAGAATAATTATTTAGTAATATGTGATAAAATTTACCCTATATATTACATTAAATAATTAAAAGTTCTGATATGAATATTTACAGGTATTAATATTTATATATGCTAAATATACGTAGAATACATACTATATATGTATATAAATATGATTTGTTATATATACATTACATCAATATTTTTTATCTCATTCTTCAAATTAAATCATTATGTACATTGAAAATTGTAAACAAACTAAAATTATAATGTAAATAAAGAAAATACATTTAATTTGTTTACGAATTTTTTAAATATAATATAGTAAGACTTGCTTAAATAGTAGAACAAATAGTGATAGATAAATCGAGATCCTCGAAAAAATAATATAACAAAATGTATTTTTAATAATATAATAAATATATTTTTTATATAAATTATTTTCTTTTTTTAATTTTTATAATTTTGGATATTTTTTTTAATTTTGAATATTTATTTGGAATTAAATATGTTAGATGTGATATATTAAATATATCAGCTATAATGACTATTTAACAACAATTTCAAAAAGTGATAGAGAAAAATCTAGTGAAAAAATAATTATAGAAATAAAAGTTTGAAAGAAGAATACAAAATTGGTAAATAAAAGACACTGAATAATCGAAATCCTCGATAATAAAAAATTGGATAATCAAAATTCTACTATATATATTTTAATTTTCAAGAATTTATATAATTCATTTTATTTTTTTTATTTAACTTTTATTATTTAATACTTATTAAAGAATTTTATTTATTAATTAAAGAATATAAAATATTATACATATAATTTAGATATTTAGATAATTAAGTACGAAATTTAAATACAATAAAAAAATAATTATTATATTTAAATGTATATAAATTTATATAATTTTATTATTTTTAAATATTTTATGAATATTTACACAATAATAACAATTTTATGTAATTATTTTACGCGCCTATCATAAAATGAGATAATCGATATTTAAAGTCGAATGATAAATCGATTTTCGACCGGAAACCGTAAATAATCGTATATCGAAGCTGTAGGCTTTTCTTCCTTTTCCGGTATGAGGTGCCACGGGTGTCTGGGTAATATTTTTCGTCTTTCATTCTCGTCATAATACGTTAGTTTCATCGCCTGCGAAAAGACAAGCTGGTTTTCATTGGACCGGGTAAAATTACTTGTTTTATTAGAAATAATTTTTTTCTCTTTAAAGTAACTAATATATTTTATTGTTTCAATTCAATCAAATTTGACTTTTGTCTCTACCCAATCTGATGTAAAACAACAGCTTTTACATATTATGTTGCTTTATAAGATTGCTTATTCACTTTGCATGGTGACACTATTGACGTTCATGTAATTATACATTTTCTATTTTCAGTTTATCGTATTTTATAATTATGTCTTAAAAAATGAGATTAAGTCTCTGAGCTCAAAAATAATATTATACGTTAATGATTTTTGTATATGTTATTATTGATTAAAATTGTCTATATAATTTTTATGTTCAAATTTTAAAATTTATTAAATTAATATTATAACTATAAAATTTCAATTTATTTTATATATTTTAAGATATAAATGAATAAAATAAATGGAAAGAGTTAAAGCGAATTGCGTATATAAAGAGATTTTGTCGTATGATTTACTTGATCATCATAATTGCGCATATACAAAGTAATCGAAAAACTCGCCAGGCATTCTGGGTAAAATCTTTCTGAGTAATCAAAATGGCTGTCATACAACGATTTCCGTTTTATGACTACGTTTTAATGTAATTGATTAAAATGATATTTCTTTTTAAAATTCAAGAGTGAAATTAAGATATATAATTATTATTTTATAGCAAAATTTATTTTTTCAGATGTTAATATTACGTTCCTAAAAGTATTAATTTTTGTCACGTTTGCAGGGCCTTCATTTTAGTTTGGGGTGTAGATGAAAGAGGGGAAGGGAGGAGCGCGCGCGCGTTGCATGATGGGATGATAGACGGGAGGACGGTCGGGGAGGGCGAAAGAACGAGTCGAGTTCACAAAATGGCGGCCAAGCTCAGGCCCGTGACCATATAGTACGTGAAAATTCGATAATTTTGCACGATGTCGCGACTTTATACATCAATAGTCGTTTAATATTACGAATACGTGTATACACGGCAGTTTAATTATTAAATTAACGTGGTTTTGTGCGTGGTGTGTGTAATATCGAGATATCGGTACGACGCGCAGACGGAACGATGCAGGTGAGTGGTCGGGTTCGAAAATTGTTTAAGTTTCAGCTTTTCTTCAATTTTTTTTTGGCAATAATTGTTTGTTTTCGTAGCCGGTACGAGCATCAATGTTGTTTTAATGATCAATTTGCGTGATATGGCCGCGGTGTTGTTTGGAGTAGGGAAAAGTCGTGTTGTCACATGCGTTTCATTAAA